CTCCTCTCATAAGGTGGTATTTTTAAATGTCCATTCTTGTGTCTCGAATGTGACACACTTTTTTGAGGTTTTGGAATTTGGTTTTATTTTTTGCATTTTGTTGTTGTGTGCCATTGAGTTGGAACTGACCCATAGGTGACCCCCCATTGGATTTTCAAAGACAGTTAATTACATGACAGGAGACTGCCCATATTTCTCCCATGGAGCAAGTGATGAATTTGAACCACGTGCCTCTACACTGATACTGCAATTCCTTATCACTATCCTGTTTGTGTGTGTGTATAAGATCACAAAAATACAAACCCAGCAATAACGTGCACACCCAGGCATACACACATACATGCATATTGTAAAAATCTTTTCTTCTATTTAATATATGCAATATATAATAGGCCTACTCTGCACTTACTATCTAGATATCTGATATTTTACATTTATGAGACAGTAAAGCAATATATCTATGTTGTATATTAATGAAATATGCTTGACAGTTAATGAATGTCAAGGTAGGAAGCAAGAGTAACATTGGCTGTGATAGTTAAGGTTACATGTCAACTTTTTTAGGTCATGTTTTTCAGTGGTCTGGCAATCATCACGTAATGATGTAGTCATCCTCCGTTTTCATATAACACTAATTTTTACGTAGTAACCTGGTCTCTGTCACCTATGTTGATAAATGAAAAGTTAAGTATATGCATTTTCCTTTTACAAAATTAGGATGATAAAGAATTTCCGTTTTTTCCAATATATTTTCTAATTTATTCTTAATAATCTAAATCTATTTTTCAAAAAGGATTTTTTTTTTCTCGCACTGTAAGTTACTGGAAAACAACTTCCTCTTATAATTTCCGCTTTTCTTTTGAGAAGTGACATTTACTTTTTCCTCTTTCTTTTCATTCACTGTTATTAAAAATAAATTCTATTAAGTGAATAAAGGGAAGGGAGACAAAAGGATACATCTAAGACTAAATAGGAAGAAAAATACAGATCTCTGGGACTTATAATTGGATCTGTACCAGGTGAGATTTATCTCACATATACAATAATGCAGAGAGCTCTGGTAGCATAGTAAGGAATTTTGCTGTCAACCCAAAGACATATCGTTTCAAACCACCAGCTGCTCTGTGAGAGAAAGGTGAATATCAACTCCTGTGTGATTTACTGCCCCTGAAAACCCACCAGATGGTCAGTTATAAATTGGTCCTGACACTACGGTACATAAAAACATACAATAATTCTGATTACTGTTGGGCTTATGTGACGTAAGGATTGGAAAACAACTTGGTAAATATTACGAAAGATATAAAGTTTTGAGGTTGGAGATGCATCTCTGAGGTTGGAAGAATGTCAGGAAGAAAGTCTTTGCCTTCTCTAATAGAATCCCATGTTTCTCAGGGACATGGGTTGAGGAGACCAGGGAAAGCCAAACTCTATGTTGATGTATTTGAGAGACTTCCATCCCCTGCACTTGAAGGGGTGCTCTGATGATCCTATAAGCGGTAAAAGGAGGAACTGAGAGTTACTAATGATGGACTGAAAGAATTAGGAAAGATAATCCAGCACTCATTATGAGTTGTGAACAAATGTTGTCGACTGAAGGAAAAGATAGAGATGGGGACACACGGAAATGGGGGTCAGGCCAGAAAGTGTGAAGGCAGGGAGCTAACAGCTGGGAGAACTGTAGCTCTGGGGTTACACATTTCTGGGTTTTTATTGAGAATCATCAGGAAGGTAAACAAAGGAAAATCACAAGGGAGTAGTAAACAAAAAACAAAAGATCATGGGGAAGTCTTTTGTAAATAAGGCCAAGTTCTTATCTCAGGAGGGAGGGATTCAGTTAATACAAACTAAGAATTATGTAAATTCTTAAGGAATGCTTTAGTGTCACAGAGTGAATTCTAGCTTGTATTATGCCTCCCTCATATCCTGTAAGCAGACCCTAGTGATTGGTACATGGAATGTGAGAACCATGAATGAAGGAAAATTAGAAATTGTTAAGAAAGAAATGGAAC